TATTGGAATTTTCCATGTTTGAAGAGTTCTAGAATGTACTAGGGTCTACAGGATCACATTATTCTGCTGTGATTTGTATTTTGAATCCTACTGCACTTGGTTGGGTGCCCAGAAATTTATGCCCAGGGCTCTTGGCTGCGTGATGCTGTTCTCGGAGCTGGGCTTCCCTCTGGAGTCACCCTGTTGAGCCCCTAAATCACATCGCCAGGGCAGGGGGATGACTGGCCTGTCCTCTCCTGCGACATCACAGGATTCACTACAGGTCCCCAGGGGATGCAGGCACAGCTGGCCATGACAGTTTATGTTTCTTTATAACCCTAACACAACTCAAAATAAGAACAAAGACCTCTCCAAACATGCAAGCAAAACATCCTTCCATTAATAAATAGGGTACTAAATGCAACCACTTTCAAGAGTCTTCATTCTTCCATGTCCCCTCACTACTCGGTGATACAGTCACTGTTATATATGCTAAGTACCCTCATACATCAAGTACTAACATGTGGACAAGGGAATGGATAAGGGGAGCCCCCCAAGAGTTGTCTTAGAAATAGTCTTGTTTCCTCCAAGATAAAATTTCATAGATTAAAAATAATAATAATAAATAAAGCAAAGAACTGATTAAAACCCTTTCCTATGAATTTCAATGAATAGGACTTAGGAGAACATTTCCTTCCTTTTCTTAATCCAATCCCATGTAAAGTTACCTTCCTGTGTCAATTTAACGAAGGTAAATGTGTAAGTACATTCTGAGGTGCTGATAAAATCAAAAAGAATGATGATACAGCATAGCCTATCACTGAAAGCAATTTTTAAAGAGTAAAATCTGGTTTCAAATAGTTGATTTAAAAAGAACTGATGAAATATTTTGATACATTAACAAGAGAAAGACCACTCAAACTTACATAGTTTCCTCTAATATGTGATTTACCTGAGTCTCACAGTAACTACATTTGCTTCACCTGTAAGTCAGTATGTTGGTGGTGAAGAAATGAAAGCACTGAAGATGAACTGACATGTGTGCCTCCTATTCAGGTCCACGACCACCAAGAAATCACACCATCTCCTTTTGCCAGAGTTACCTCAGGTTCAAAGTTTAACTTTGCTATATACTACCTGCAAATAGTTAAACAAGTTCCCTATTTAAACTCCAATTTTCTTATTTGTAAAATGGAGAGAATAATACCTATTATAGGGCTGTCTTGTGGATTATTTGAGACAATGTGCAAAGTGCTATAAGGACCACATTGTTGCTCAATAAACACAAAATTTTCACAAGAACTATGAACCTTGACATTTTTAATAGTATTAATTACAATGGGAGGCAGGTTTTCTTAAGTATAGTATGCACTACACAGTAGAGAGGATATCTTTATTTGGAAATAGTTCAGGGGCCTCCCTGGTGGCCTAGGGGTTAAGTCCATCACTGATAACACTAGGGACTGAATTTGATCCCCAGCACCGGAGGTGATCCACAGACTTCTCCTGCCTTGCCCACTGCTCCCCTCGGCAGTGTATTTCAGTCGGTCTGCCTGTTCTGCTCCCTGTTCTGTCTCTGGTGAATCCTCTCTGCACGTCCCTCTTCCACCTCTGGCCCATATCCAGTACTTATACATTTAAAAAGGTGATATTCATAAATTTAAATGAAGATCATTGAAATATATGGTTTACTTTCAACATGTTTTTATAAGATTTAGTTTTAGTAATTTATGCACACAAGAACTGGAGTGTAGGCCAGAGGTGCAAGGAGTGACAGGATTCACCAGAGACAGAGTGGGGAGCAGAACAGGTGGATCTAGTGAAATACACTGCTGAGGGGAGCAGTCAGAGAAGACAGGAGAGGTTTGCTGCACCATGTGGGTCAGTTCCCTGAACTGTGATAGTGATGAGACTGAACTACCTTGTGCTACCAGTGAGACCGTGTTTTGTTTCTTTACTGACTTTCTGAAAATTATTTTTCCAAATTAAAATTATAGTTGGAAAATAACCTGTGGTTACAGAAAGCATAGTGTATATAAAATCACTTTCCAGAACTAAATCCATACAAAGTTGTGACAAAGTTGATAAGGAACTTAGTCATTCATTTTGGAAAACTTCTCAAGTCCAAAATGTTTAGATTCTAACGTAGAACCTAGATATCTGGACATAAAGGAGATAAACCAATATAAACTAAGAATCACAACAGAAACATCCTTTTATCCCTATAAAATTCTAGAATATAGAAGTATTATTTTAAGCAAATAAATGCTATATCAGCTTATTTCAAATAACCTTAATGTTGATCTCTTTGCTTAAAGCTTAGTTCTTCTGAAGTCTACCAGTCCACAATACAGATATACTGTATATTACCAGCATATCCACAGACACAGAACATAAAACTGGTAGATACTATATTAAAATATTAGCCATCCAGACTATAGCCCAAAGAAGACTAACATGTTACTCTGAAGTAAGTCACATTTATGAGATTCAAACTAGGTCCCCTGGTATAGAGGTACAGCCATCTAAAAAAAAAAAAAAATGTCCCTGACAATTTGGTAGAAGGTTCAAGCATACAATGTGTTTCCAGTTTATAAATAATTAACAGTTATTTAAAACATTTTAGACAGTACAAAATAATAATGATAATAATGCAGAGTAACTTAATTACCAGCAAGTTTGCAAATGCATATTAAAATAAAGTCCCAAATATGAGGTCACCTGACTGATTCATTTTAACAATCAATAATTCTGCTTATCAGTAAATATCTCTTCAAAATAGCTGATTTTTTCCCAAGTTCCACAGTTGCCTCTTATTCGCACTGGGGCAGCTCTCATATCAATGTTGTGGATAAAAAGAGTTCATTTGCAAGACACAACAAATGGCTGTGAGAATTACATATTCATCACCTTTGTAGCTGCTGTATCCACTTATGTTATAAAATGGCATCAGCAAACAAAGCCCAAAGCCCAATATGTTTTAGATTTCCTCCTGGACATGCTGTTCCACCTCCACATATAGGCAACCAGCCTTTTTCATGTCTTCATGAAGCAGGGGGTGCCTAGAACATAATCTGATCAGCTACAAAACCCAGCCACTGTCTCCGTGAGGATTTGTTGTGCCTTGTAAATACCTAAGTGAGTCTGCATACATCTGCAGTAGACAAGGGAGGAGTCCTGCTAGGTGTGGGGGGGGGAGGGGGGCGCGGCAAGAACAAGAATCTACACTAGCTGTGTGGTTAGTCCCGTTTCCTCTTCTAGCTTAATGATACTGACTGGAAGTGAAGATCAGATGATCCTGTCATATGACCACATTATTAACCAATAATCTTCTCTACCATGCTGACTTCTAGCTAAAGCAATGCAGCATCCAAGCATCTGAGATTCTCAGCAACTACTTCCGTGTTTCCATTTTAGCGAAGTAGTTTTTCAATTTTATTAAGATGTAGAAAACAAAAGAAAAAACACCGGGGTAAATACAGACATAACCCAGGGCAAGACCAGGAGCTTTTCAAGTGTAGGTATGGTCCTCTAGCGCAGGGTATGACCGGCACGCCCTCCAGCGAGGCCAAGTTAGTAGGTCACAAATGGATGTTGAACCAGCAGAGCTGGTCAAGAAATAATCCAGTATGCTTTAGAGATGATACCTATAGATATATCTATGCATCGATACAGTCAGAATCACAAGAAGTTGCTTCATGCTATTCTGTTCCATTCTCAGAAATGCAGTAACTGTCAATAAAGACATCAACTTCCACAAAAATGGCCAGCAATACTTTTGACATTATAACAAAGGCATGCACCCTAGAAACAAAACCTTTTAAAGGTGAGGCAGACAGTATTAAACCCCCACTATAGATAATATCACCTATTTAATTATTTGGGTTGCCTATTAACAGTCATTTGACCCAAGAAGTGGAGAAATAAGTATAAAAGAAAAATGTCATGAATCCCTCTGCAGTAAGATCTCAACTCAATGTAGGTCCTCAAGTGTCGTATCAAAAAGAAGGCGAAGCTAATATCCCCCAAGTGGAAAGTAAACGCATCTATTATGAAAGAGGAGGAGGCACTGAGCATTTGGAGTACTGAGCATGTGAATCCCCACTGCACCCCTAATCCCGCAGCTATGTTTCACGACAGCTTGTGTACAAACCACTATTTTTATGCTCTGCTACTGCAAATTCCATCTATCATCTTCTGAAAAGATCATCTTCAGTGACCTAATTTGTTCATTAAAGCGCTGACAGAGATCTCCCCCCGCCCCTATAGAATCACAGCAGCAGCTAAATGACTCTTTCGGTTCCACTGAGTAGTACGATTATTTCCCTTTTAAAGGACCTAAGGAAAGAGTGTTAACGATTCTATAGCTTACTATTAAGGCCACATTTACTATTCCCTGCCATTGGTTAACCTCAATCTTTTTCATAGACTTGCTAGGGTTGGAACAGAAAATCCTAAGATTAAAGGCTGAAACCATAAAATTAAAATGAAGAGTTCACAACGCAAAGACAGATCATCACACTTTATCTTGAGTGCATTTTCACAGTGAACAGTGTTCACCATCAGAGGGGAGCTGGTGGGGGGGGGGGAATAAAACCTATGGTTTCTTCCTAACCAGCACAGAAGCAGTGACAAGGCACAGGGCTAAGGATCCAGTAGACAGAGAAGACTTTCACCCTCCCAGGATAAATCAGCCCTTCCTTCTCCTATACCAAGTGTTCAGAGCCACCTGGAGGAATAAAACACCTGCCACGGCCTCTGAATAATGACAACTGAGAAAAACAGAGGAAAATGAAGTGGAGGCATTTTCTGCTCTGCTTGCTTGAAGCAAAGGAAATGTGCCGAGCTGAAGCATCTCCTCCCAATGCAGCAAATTCAGGCACGAGCTCGAGGCTGCAGGCAGAGCTTGGAAATGGTGCAGGGGAATGATGGAGGGAAGGGAGGATGAAGTTGCCAGTGCTCAAGCCTCCGGCTGTACACAGAGACGCAGCCGCGAGGGACCGAGGGGATCCTTCTCATACCTTTCTTTTCCGTTCCATGCGTTCCCTGGGGATTTTCCGTTGTTTTTTCCTCTCTCTCTCAAGGTTTTTTTCCTTTTCATCCAATTCGGCCTCTCGAACTTTTTTAATAGAAGCAGCAGCGTGAGCCATTTTGCAGGGGAAAACCAGCAGAAGCAGTGGCCGTGAGCCTGTTTCCACTCCCCAGAAATCCAGGTGACTCGGGCTGGATGGAGACGTGGTGTGTGCCCCGCCAGGCAGCGGCTGGCAGCCAGAGCACTCACAGAAGGATCCACTCCGCCCCCGGTCTAGGTCATAATCCTGCTCCGGCCTCTGCACCACCCATCACTCACTACGATGTCCCGAGGTCCCAGGTCCAGCCCCGGCGTGCACACCTGCGCACACACAGAGGCATAGGTGTGCACCACGCTCGGAACCGGTCCCGGGGGAGGGCTGAGCACTAGACTTGGCGCTCTTCAGCAGTCGGGTGGCCGCAAGTGCTGACAAGCATCCTCCAAGTGGAAAAAGCCTCCCTGAGACACACTTCACCAGTTGGCACGGTCTTTGGGGACTCCTCCAGACAGTCTGTGCCTTCTGACTGGAGCCAGGAAGAGGCCACCTCTGTGGAGCAGCTCGGGGAGTTTATTGCCGCTGCCAACCACACCTCTATGCAGGGTGAGAAGAAAATGGTGCAGTCTCGCTAAATGACTTGCCGCTGCCGCCGTTGCTACGGCAGCTGAGCTGGAGCACATGACAAGAATTCCTGCCTTTTAAATCTTTCAACCCTCCCCTTCGGTAAGGCTCATTTAAAAAAGGAAAAAAAAAAAGAAGAAGAAGAAGAAGAAAAAGAATCAATGCTGCTGTTCGAGGGGGTGCCAAAGACCAGCTCAGTTGGAGTGACCTGCCGCGGCCCCGGTCATGCAGGGCTGAGTCGGCAAGGGCTGGGAGTAGCCCAGCCTCGCTGTCAGTTACAGACCCACGTGAGGCTGCGTTAGGAGCCGCAGGGAGCAGGGGATGGGAAAGAGCTGTCAGAGAGCACAGCCAGGTTAGGGGGGAGAAAAGGAGGGCTTCTGAGAGGAGAGAGGAGGGCAGAGATGAGGAACAGGGAGAGAGGAAGCAGGCAGCAGCCCAAAGCACTCTGTTATTGGAGGGGTACAGGGACTCTCGTTAATTACTGACAGCTTGTGTTAATACTAAATTAAAGTCAAGTAGTGGCTTAAAGGAGGATTCCTATCTCTGGATGGGAGAGGCAGAGAGGGAAGGCAAAGAATACAACCCGTTAACTCTGACAGGCTAGGACGCCGCATTTTTAGAAACGTACTGCAGTTTTATCAAGGCCCAACAGGATGGCATGCATTTCTTAGTGATCCTTGGATCCTGAAAACTGAGTTATAACTCAGTGTTAGGCAGATTAGAGAAAGCCTTCTTCTACACTGCCTTATTTTAGAAAGTTTTGATAACTACTATAATCACTGACATTTAAATATAAACTGATTCAACATATACCCTATTATTAAGGAAAAAAGTAAAAGTAACATTAAAAGTGTCCACTTATGGAAGTAGAGAAAACTGAACCCTCTTCCACTGGCTGCTGGGAGTGCAAACTGGCCCAACCACTATGGAAAGCTCAAATTACTAAAAACAGAGCTACCATATGACCCAGCGATTTGACTCCTAGGAATCTACCCGACGACATAAGAACATTAATTCAACAGGAAACCTGCATTCCTGTGTTCATTGCAGCACTGTTTACAATAGCTTAGTGCTAACAAGCCAAATGCCTAAAAACAGATGAATGGATCAAGAGGTGGCATGCGCACACAGTGGAATACTATTCAGCCATCAAAATGACTAACTCATGCCATTTGCAGCAACATGGATGGAGCTAGAAGGGATTGTATTCAGTGAAATAAGTCAGAAGGTAAAAGAAAACTATCAAAAGTGTTCTCTTACTATCAAATGGTTTCTCTTACAGGAGGAATATAGAGAAGCCCAACAAATGGCTAATAAAAGGACAATATTTATAGGCAAACTATAGATCAGAGGCACACAGTAGGGGGTGGGAAGGAAGAAGGGTCAAAAGAGGGAAAGAAAGAGCAGAAGGGAGTATGGTGATGTTTAAGAATGCTGTAGTAGTGGGAGACCTACAGGAACTACACCTGAGCGGGGAACCCAAGGACTGTCCAAAAATGAATAACCATGTAAGAAAACAAAAATGTAATCAATAGTCATAAAAAAAAATGCATCCTCTTACAAAAAGATCTACTTTGGGATCCTAACCCTGATGACTCAGCTGCCTGGAGAAATGAGCAGTGTAGATTGCAGTGCATGAAATAGTCAGACTTACCCTCTTGTAGGAGAAAAACACTCATTTTCTATACTGTAGTTGGCTTCTACATGTCAAAGATTATTCTAACATAGTGAACCATTTTTCCCTTTTTTAACTAAACTAAGTCAAAAGCAATAAGATGAATCAACTATCTCACAGCAAATGCAATACACTCCACGGAGCACTGAGAACCCAGCAACTAATTTGGTTCCAAAGTCAGTGAACAGTGAGAATCATGGCCATGACCTGGGCCAGCACTTACTGGCACCGGAGGGCTCGTGTTTCAGTGACCAGTCAGCACAACGGACTTACGTATGGGGAGCACAACCCTCTCTGACTTGACTGGCTGAGAATTCATCTTCTTAAAAAATGAGCTGCACGACGAACCCCATCCTCTGGAAACTTAGCACAAGTGCACTCAGGAACACACACAGACGCCCTGGCTTCCTGGAAAGACACTTTGTGGATCTGGGGGCGGAAGTTCCTGTAGCTCTTCAACCAGCAGCACCATCGCCTGCCCTGAGGTAACACACTTGCCAGGCTGTCCCCACCTGGGTACAAACCCATCATCAGGAACGATGGTGGCTCAGGAGAGCGGCGGGGCAGAGCGCGGAGTGTTCTCGGTGCCACCTGGCATCCTCTTTTTCCCTAAATACTTCAAAAATATTCACAACTCAGCCCGGATGAGGGGATGCCCTTCCCACATTACAAGGGAGGCTTCCCTGAGTGTGGCTGAGCTCTGCCTCTCTGCAGACCGCCCGAGGGGAGGTGAAGAGTCCCAAGTACAAGGGGAAGGTAAGGACTCGCCTTGTGGCAGAGACCCGTGTTTTATGGGCCTCTAATAAGTTCAATACGCAGATCTGCTTGGGAAACCCGACAGGAGCCCTTTAATTACGTTGTTTTCTAAGGCCAGGAGAAAGACACATTTTTACACTTTTTATCACTTGTCAAAAGCGGGAGGTGAAAAGTCTAACCCTTGAGATGCCCTCCGTTTTTCTTCCAAAAGCACAGAACAGCTCTTTTTGTCACTTTATCTCAGGAATAAGGGCCATGCATCAGATGTTAGCTGGACTGCCAGGAGCGTTTCACAAAGCCCCCTCATTGCCAGTTCTAGAAAAATAATAATCATGCTACTTTGCTTACATTTCCTCACAACAACTTTGGTTGTAGCACACAGAAACCAAGTCACCACGATTTTACAGTGGCAGATACTAGAAGGCGTTGATGTGTCCCAGCAGCCTGGACCGAGCGGGGGACGGGGGGAGGGCTGAGGCTCCGTGCTCTTAAGCCAGCCCCCATAAAGCCCCACCGCCAGCCCTAGTCCTCAAATCACAGCACAGGAAACCTCCGACATCAAACCTGAATATTTTTAGTTACGAGTCCCTCTGCAGTGTGTTGATTTCCTTTTGCCTTTTCCCCAATCAGAAATCAGACTGCCCCCATAGATGGAGGGAAGCACAGAATCCCATTTCGGAACACCAGGTAGATCAGATATTCCCAGGCAGAGATAAAGGCGCCTCATACCACAGCAAGCTGTTCAGAGAATGATTTTCTGAAATCATTCTTTCTTATCTATTCGTGTGGTTCAAACTTTCCCAGGACTTCTCTTTGAATGGTCAACAAAATCAGTGTCACTTTTCCGAGCAAAGAGAGCAATGTACACTCACCAGCTGACCTCTGCACAGACAGGGCACGCGTTTCCAGCCCCAGGAGCTCCCGGCCATTTAAGTGATGCACACGCCGCGTTACAGGAGTCCGCCCATCAAGCTTCAGCGCGGGTATAATGCTGGCTGATTTGTGAACGTGTAACAAGAAGCCACTTCCTTCCACAAAGCATCTTGGCCATCAATGGGACAAGCTTGTGTCTGCCTTCGGAGTAAGGAACGCGCTGTCGTTTACATTTAAAGCCGAAGCCAGCATAGATGGATTGCCCTTCAGAGAGGGCATACTTCATTTTAAAGACAGGAGAGAAAAATGACCATTTGCTGTCCTCAGTGTCCAGCACGCCATTGATCAGAGTCCAAAGAAGAGCCTCTGCAGACATCAGGCATCAGCCGGGGCATCGTTCAATATCAACCGAGCCAGCCACATGCAACTCAATCCCTCTCCTGTCCCCAGCCTCACCCGGAGAAGTGGCTATACGATCAGGCGGCCTATGTTGTCACTCTGCCACAAATGGACTGTGGGTGGTAAGTGGGAAAAGAAACAGATGCACCACAAAAGCAGCTGGAACATCACCTCATCAGGGGGAAAAAAGGCTCAAGCTCTAAGTCGAGGGTTCCTTCTACTCAAGTCCAATGGTGTTTATCCATAGTTGAGATTTCTTGTGTGTTCCGCAATGAATGAATGGTCAGGGCGAGGTAAAGTGAACATTGGCTGTATTGCTCCCCCTTTGTTTGACCTAAAGTCAAGCCCCAAAAGCCAACGCGATAAAGCAGCGTTTGCAGTAAGACACCAGACCCCACTTTCCACAGAAAAGTCTCTAAAAAGAGATGATTTGGTTAAAATCAAAATTTCATATGGTATCTTCCTTCCACCTCTGCCTGAAGAATGGAAGCAAGGGCACCCCAATTCTAAGTCAGAGTCAGCACTTACACCGTTTGGGACAAAGCAGCAGGAGCGAGACCCCCCCAAAGTCCAGCCTCTCAATCTAGTTGCTAGCATTTCATGGAAACACTGCAGCTGGCAAGAAGAGTGAGCAGACAAGGAGTGAAAAACTTTCCTCCGGAGGCCCCTTTGCATAAAGAAGACAGAAGACAGAGCCACACAAAGTGAAGGTCACAAGAAGTTAGCGTTCTGTCACCACCAAGCTCTCTCCATAATGACCAAGGGGGCGGTCCGGGGGTTACTGGCGGCAGCCATTTCACCCAGGGGCAGCATGAAGGGAAAGGCACAGGCAGAGAGAGGAAAATGTCAAAAAACAGACGGTTTAGAGGAAAAAGGTAATCCTTCCCCTTGTCCTCCAAACCCTGACCTCCACTCACATATTCAGGCCTCCCTGGAGGCACAGTGCTATCAAGCTGTCGCCAGCCACTGTGGTGTAAGTTCCATCCCTGGCCAGGGAGCTGACCCA